ACCCCCCCGCCACATAGACCGAGGAGGAAACCCGTTGCTTACGGCAGCCTGACGGCGTCCTCCAGTCGTGCATGACGGCCCCGTGCTTCTTGCAGGTGGACGCGTAAGCCTCCAGCACCTGGCAGAGGATTTTCTTCGCCCCGTCGCTCATGCACACATCGTAGAGGCAGTCGCGGTAGAAATCCCGGGGCTTGACGACGTCGTGGCAAGCCTTGAAGGGCCCCTGGAAGCTTTTTTTGATGAGACCGCAATACTGGTTGCCCCCATACAGCTCCTTTTTCTCCTCCTCGCACACCGGGCAGGCGCCTTCGCAATAATCCCAACAAAACGGGTCATCGTCGTCGGGGACTTTCCAGCCTTTGGCCCAGGCCACCACGGCGGCGTCGCCGCCGCTTTGGGGGACGTCGTCCTCGGGCTTGAGGTTGAAGTTGCCGCAGAGGCCGCAGGTGTGTTTGTAGTAGCTGCTGGGGAGGTCGATGAGCAGATGCCAGTTCCAGTCGTACGTTACGCGGAGCCCAAAATCTGTCTCCAGCACGGCGCTAAGCCCGCTCTGGAAGACCTGCACCTTGCCATCCTCCAGGCTCACCGGCAGCAGCGTCATCACCCCGTTCACCTGCGGGCGGGGAGCACCAGATGTCAGCACGACGCACGTGCACCGAGGCGGGCTTGGGGCGTGCAACCGCAGCATGCGATTGCCCCGCTGCAGCCTGAAATCGCTTTTGCGGCCATTGCTCGCCGCGGCGTGCGATCGCCTTGCTGTGGCATGCGATTGCCCGCTGCAGTGGGCAATTGCTACTGGGGTGCTGCAGCATGCAGTCGCCTTGCTGCGGTGATGCGGCGGCATACAATTGCTTTGCAGCGGTGTGCAAGTGCTCGCAGCCCAGTGCGATCGCCTTGCAGCGGCATGCAACGCCTCCGCAGTTGCCCGCTGCATCGTGCAATTACCGCTGGGATGTTGCTGCAACCACCGTTATGGCATGCAACCGCGTGCTGTGGCGTGTGACACCCCGCTGCAGCGATACCGCAGCGTGTAACCACCTGCTGCAGCAATGCTATAGTGCGCAATTGTCCTCTGCAGCGTGCAACCATGCACTGCAGCAAGGCTGAGGCCATGGAACCGCTGCTTGATGTGCAATCACTGCTGTGGTGATCCTGCAGCACGCAATCACCCACTGCAACGTGCAGCCGTTCGTCGGGGTGTGCAATCAGTGTTGCAGCACTACTAGAGCACGCAGTCACCCGCTGCGGTGTGCGATTGCGGCTGCGGTGCTGCTACGACATTCAATCACCCGCTGCAGTGTGCAATCGCTGCTGCAGCGAGCAAACACCGTTACAGCACGCAACCACCCATCGCAAGCTCCGTGCCCTCCTGGCAAGATCCAAACTTGGAGCCAACCCTCATCAGGGGCTGCCGAGATGCTCCGCGCATCAAAACCTCTCCAGTTTCACGACATCGCCGCCTTCGTCGGGCTTTGCTTTTGCCTCGCGCAACTCGCATGCGCCGGCTGCCACCGCAAACCTCCCGGGGAGTGTCCCACCCGTTTTGAGGTTTCTTGGAGACCTACTGCAGCCGCTTTTGGTGGTTTCGGTTTCCCCCCAAGGGCCAGAAAACAACCTCAGGTTGCCGCATGCAAAGCAACGTATTCCCGGCATATCCCAACATTTCAAAAATCCACATTCCAGTTTGATTGATTTAGCCAAAAATAATGGTGGCCCTGATGAAGCAGGAAGGGGTGTTGAACATGATGGAGGAGATGAACGGAAAAGGAGGTGGGGAAGAGATGGATGAAAAAAGAGGTGGGGAAAGGCCAATTTTCTCTCCATTTTAGGCCAACTCACCCTGACTTTGCCCACTTCCTTCCGGTGGATGGAGACGTGTTGACTGTAGACTTTGATGTTGGTCAAGCTCACGTAGGAGACGGATTTCACCCCACCACGGATGTCGTTCTTGCCCTCCACCTTGAAGGGTACCAATCTGGTGTCGTTCCCGCAGGATTCAGCCATGGTGTAGGTGCAGGTGCCTTGGAAGTCAAAATCGAGCCCGTCGAAGGTGTGGTAGTGGGGGTCCCCCCAACCCCAGCAGGTGGCAACCAGGGACGGGACACACTTGGCTTGGCCGTCCTTCAATTTGCACCTCTCCTTAGGCCGGCACCGAAGGGCTTTGCAGGGGTCTGGAAGGAGAAGAAACCATGGGAGAAACCACGGGAGAAGTTCTGGTGAGGGGCACATCCCATGTCACCATGCAAACCAAGGATCTTCACCAGTGTTGAGGTCCCACCAAGTGTCCTCTGCTCCCCCTTGGGCTTTGGCAGGAGATTGGCAGCTCCAAGATGGAAATCAGAGCACAACAATCCCTCGCCAAACCCAATTTTTCCCTTCACAGCTGTCTTCCCCCCTGCCGTTGCTTGGAAAAGTGTCAAGATTGGGTTCATCGTTACCCAAGATTGCAGTTGTCCTTCAAGAAGGTGCCACCATGGTTAAAACAGGACATCTGAGTGGATGCAAAGCCAAGGGATGACTTATTCTGAAGCACTTGGCTCCTCCAAAATCCTCCCACCACATCCCTGACCCTCTTAGGGTCAGCTGTCTTCCCCCCTGCCGTTGCTTGGAAAAGTGTCAAGATTGGGTTCATCGTTACCCAAGATTGCAGTTGTCCTTCAAGAAGGTGCCACCATGGTTAAAACAGGACATCTGAGTGGATGCAAAGCCAAGGGATGACTTATTCTGAAGCACTTGGCTCCTCCAAAATCCTCCCACCACATCCCTGACCCTCTTAGGGTTGGAGATGGGATCTGTGGCCTCCATCTCCCCTCGCTGTAGGGTTTCCACCTCAGCCCACACCTCTAAATCAAACATCCAGACCAGCCCCAGGATCTGCTCTGGCTCCGAGATCCCTTTTTCCCCCCCCCCCCCCCTCCCCACTCAAGCAACCCCATTTTTCCTTACTTTGGTTGATGCAACCCAAGACCCCATCCTGGATTTCACAGCTTTCATCATCGGTGCAGCTGTGGCTGCTGCAAGTCAAGTCCTTGCCGGGGACACACGTGCAACGCTGCTGGCAGTTATCCTTCAAGACCGACTCGTGGGGCTGCAGGGCGAGAGGTTGCAAGGCGTTGCAACGAGAAGAGCAAACCGTGTTACACAAATGCATAAAAATATGTAGAAGGGGAAAGACATCATATATTGAGGTCTACCGGAGAGAATAAGCAGCTTTGCAAAATGCAAAAGCGTTGAAGAATTTATCGCTTTTGTTGAAATAAAAAAAAAAAAGCAGAAAAAAAACCCCTCCCTTTGCCCTCTTCCACCTCCTCCGAAGGAAAAATATGTTATTATTTACTGCCTTCAGCTGTGGAAAGGGTAGCTACCATCTGGGCATCCACATCTGTGCTAGCACCTTTATGCCAAGCGATAAAAGAGATGGAAACGCCCCGATTTTCTTCATATGAAACCACAGAATCACTTGGCAGATGGAAGATTTGAAGGGTTTGGGTTTTTTTCCCCCCCTGCAAGGTGCTTTGGGCCGTGCACACGTCACCTTTGGAACAACGTGCAGGCGGAAAATGTTCAAAAACCCAACCCAAACCCCCCAAACTCAAGAGATTCCTACCTCGTAATATTTCCCATCCACAAAGCATCCACATTTGTCCTTGGGAACGCAGCCTTGCCCGTCAAAGACGTACCCTGCATCGCAGCGGCAGCCTTCGAGACAGGTTTTGGGACATTTGGAGGCATCTACGAGCCCTGCGCAGCTGTTGGCGCAGAGGTTGGCGCAGAGGGAGTAGCTGCTGTTGGCCGGGCAGCTGAGGGCTGGAAGGAAAAGGGTGATAATCCCAAGACCCAACATCAAGTGGAAGAGCAGTGCCAAGCCCAGGGTTGCACCCCAGGGAGACGGCAGAGCCTGAACGCTGATGAAAACGCCACCCGTTGGCGCTTGGCGTTGGGGACAAGGGGGAAAAACCAACACAAGCCCAACCGGGTGAATTTTTCTTGGTGTTGGCTTTTCCCGTCTGCCTCCGGCATCAGTGAAAGTTCAGCCCGTTGGCGCTCGCGTTGGCTTTTCGCATTTGCGCCCCAACACCAACGAAAATGCACCGGCTTGGTGCTTCCATTGGTTCTTCCCACTCGTCCAAAAGGCCAATGAAAATCCACCTCAGCGGCACTTGCGGTGGCTTCTCCTGCTTGCCCAAAACATGGATGAAAACACACCCTGTCGGCGCTTGCGGTGGCTTTTCTCATGTATCCCCAACGCCACTGAAAAAATGCACCCCCTTGCGTTGGCTTTTCGCGGTCGCAATTATTTTCATGCCATCATCATCCTCCCCATCCCGGGCTCCCAACCCAACAGCACCATTTGCATCACCCCATGCATCGAGGGTGGTCAGCACTGACACCCGGCCCCAACGTCCCTTAGAAAAAAAAAATTGTAAAGCCCTGCCTGTTCTTTCAATTAATCCCAACGAGATGTGACTTCACGGCCGTGGAGGGCGTTTCCCCACCCATGACACCCACTTACGGCAGAAGGATGGTCTTCTCCAAGCCTCAATGACGACACCGGCGTCTTGGCAGGCTGTCGCGTAGCTCTGGATGCTCTGGCAGAGGACGCGGGTGTCCCCCTCGGCGAGGCAAAGGTCATGGAGGCAGGCTTGGAAATACAGGGCTGGGTTGATGAGGTTGTGGCAGGAGTCAAAGGGGCCTTTTGGGACCGTGAGGATGCCGCAGTAGTTGGCTTTCTGCAGGACCGCCGCCTTCTTCTCCGTGCAGACAGGGCAGTCATCCTTGGGACAGTCATCATCGCAGGACGCATCAGGCGTTTTCCAAGCAGAGCCAAAGACCACCGCGTTGGGGGCCTGTTGGCCACCGGGGAGGAGGAAATCATCGTTGCGTTGCCCGTTGTAGTTGCCACAGAGCCCACACAGGTGGCCCTGGTAGCTCTGCGGGACTGTGACCGTCACGTGGTAGAGGAGGTCATAGCGTATGACAAGGCCGAAGTCAGCCTGAAGTAGGATACCCATCCCGTGTTGGAGCACCTGGACCCGTCCATTGCTCAGGATGGCCGGGAGGTGGTGGGATATGGAGTCCACCTGGGACAGGGAGAGAGAAATCTTCCAGTGAGCCTCAAGGACGCTACAAGGAGAAGGCTATGGAGGTAGGAACAAAAAAACATTGGGGGAAACACCCTCCAACCAACTTCTTAATGAATTTATGGCTCCCACTTTGAAACTGGAAGGCAAAGTGGGGATGAGCATGGCTTTGCCTTGGAGATCGGGGTGAGGTCTTCCCTCCATCAAGGAAAAATGATTTTTGGGCTCCCATGTTCACACCAGAAAAGAGGTGGACCACAAAACATGGCCTTGCTGTGACCATGCAGCTCTTGCTTCATGCCAGAGTCAACACGAGCCTGTAGACTTTGACACCAGCATGCTTGCAGCCAAAAAGAGGTACAGCTGTGCTTCACGATCCACCGTGACAGGTCCCTTGTTGCCTCACACCAAGGTCAACATAAGCCTGTAGACGTTGTCACCAAAATGTTTGCACTCAAAAAGAGAAGGACCACAAAGCACAGACTTACTGTGATGGTTCCCTTCTCACCTTGTCTCGAGGTCAACATGAGCCCATAGAATTGGACACCAGCGTGTTTGCGCCCAGAAAGAGGTGGACCACGAAGTACCGCCTTACCGTGACAGCTCCCCTCTTGCCTCGCGTCAAAGTCAACGTGAGGCCGTAGACTTCAACGGACAATGCTTGGATGCCAGAGACCTTCTTCTTCTGCCGGGCGTCCTTCTTGATTTTCACAACGAACGGTTTGACATTGTCACCGGCACAGGTCTCCGTGAGGATGTAGGAGCAGGTGCCCGAGACGTTGAAAGCCATCCCATCGAAGGAGATATAGGTGCGGTCACCGGTGGCCACGCAGGCCCCGAGCGAGGCAGATGGGCATTGGAAGATGCCATCAATGTCTTTGCCTTCGCTGTCTTCGGGGCAAGAAATGTTTTGGCAGACCACAGTGCCGCCAGCCTGGCACTGACATTTCTCCTGCTTGGTGGGGAAGAAGGTCTCCTCCACCTTGTGGTAGAAGCCCTGATGGAGGCATCCGCACTGGGACACGGGGACGCACTCGTCACCGCTGAGCGCGAAGCCTTCGTTGCACACGCAGCCCTCCTTGCACCGCTCCGAGCATTTCACCGGGGTGTAGATGCTGCTGCAGGTCTGGCTGCAGCCCTGGGAGCAGATCTCGTAGTGGCTGGTTGCAGGACACGAAATACCTGCCACGAGACAAGGAGGTTCGTTAGAAGCAAGGAAATTACAGGCTGGATCCTGCAATTTTCCTGCAATTAGGGACACAGTTGTGCCTGGTGACGAGGTTCACCAGATGTAGGGGTTTTTTTTACCCAATTGCTTCATGGCTAAATCTCATCTCTCTTCAGTGTGGACATGATGAGGAAAGAGGTGGCCGTAAGGGACGTTTGACGTTTCAGTCCTTCTGAGGTGGCGGGTTTAGACCCCTGAATCACCTGGTTTTCCCCATTGTCATGGAGGAGATGAGGACGTTCCCTCAAGCAACGGAATCGCTCCCATGTTGGGTCCCCAATTAGCTTCCAGGGCAGGTCCCTCTCCCCTAATTTAGATATTTTTGGTGCATCTGATGTGTTTTGCCCTCCAAGCGAGCCAGGCAATTAGCCCTCACTCTTATTTTAGCCAATGCAAAGAAATTGGGGCTAAATTATTCGACCTGTCGTAGCCCGATGAGACATCTTGTTCCCTGGAAGGGTTTGTTTCTGGGCATTGGCTGTAAATAGAGATGATGGGACCAACCTAGACTTTGGGTGGGATAAAGCACCACTAAACGAGATGATTCCCACCTCTGGTTTGTCCCCGCATGGGTTTGGCCCAGGGTTGGGGATTCCCTTGGATGCTCATGATCCCTCGTGAAGCAAAAAAACCCTTCCAATTAGCCCAACTTACTGCAGAAATCGTCCGTCCTCCATTTCCCGATGGTCACGCCAGCATCCCGGCAGGCAGCAGCGTAGCGGGCGATGATCAGGCATATCACACCTTCCTGGTCTGGGAAGAGGCAAAAATCATGCACGCAGGTTTGGAAGTATTTGACGGGGTCCACGTGAGCATGGCAAGCTACGAAGGGGCCATCCGCTTGCTGGATGATTCCACAACCCATTTTTGAGACCTTCTGGTGCTGCAGAGCCGCCGCGATGGCAGGACATTCCACCTTCGACACCTCCACGCAACCCGGGATGTCGGCAACCTTCCAGCTGTGCCCGAAGGTGTCTGGGTTTGATGTCACTTGGCCGTTCTTCATCATCATCTCATCGTCTTCGTTCCCGTTGTAGTTCCCGCAAAGGCCACACAGGGTGTTCGCGTAAGTGCTGGGCACTGACACGGTGATTTGGTTTTGCCAGTCGGAGGTGACGGTGAGGCCAAAGTCTGCCTCTACCACCACTTCCTGCCCACTTCTGTAGATGAAGATCTTCCTATCTCTGTGGTGATAGGGTAGGTTGACCAACCGGTCATCGATCTGGGGACAAAAGCAAAAAAAAAAAAAATAAAAAACACACCACAATTTGGTATCCAACAGTAAAGGCAAGTTGTGTTTTCACGCCACTTGCAATTTGGGCTCCAGCCAAAGCACCCGAATTACGTAGATGAAGACTCTTCAGATTTAATCATCTGCCCCAAATACAGATGCCCACCAGCTTTGAGGTGAACAACGCCTGAGGCTCCACGGCTTATATCACACGCCAATCTCCCGCTTCAGGTGGAGATCCTTGTATTTAGGCAATTAAATCTCATCTTGATTAACGTGGGGCAATGGATCTCAGCAGTGTCGTTGGATAAAAATATTCAGGGTCACCCAATACAGAAAAAAAAAAAAAGAGGAGTGAGGGTGGAAGAGAAGAAATGGGACAAGGAGGTTGGGGTGAGGAGCAGAAAGTGAAGAATGTAGGGATTAGATAAAGAAACATTTGCTAAACTCACCGTGATTTTGCCAGGGTGTTCCTGGCTGATCACAATGTTTTTGTCGTAGACTTTGACTGTCACGAAAGCGATGGAGGGGAGAGGTTCGTCGTCCTGGCGGCCGTTCTGCATCAGCACCTGGAAGTCCACCAGATCTTGGTTCTTCTTGCACAACCCAGCGAACTGGTATATGCACGTGCCCTGAAAGATGAACTTCCTGCCGTCAAAGCTCTCGTAGCGGGTGGCACCGACCGCTGTGCAGATCCCGTAGCTCTTGGGATAGCAATCCTGGATGCCCTCCTCCACCCGGCATTCTTCCCCGGCACGGCAGCTGGCCCATTGGCATACGGCCCTCCGGGATGTCGCGTCGCAGACGCAGCGTTTGGTACAGGTGGTGTCACCCCAAAACTCCTCATGGAGACCGTGGAGGCGGCCCTCGAAGACGCAGCCGCACTCATCCCGGGGGATGCACTCGTTGGCGTCAAACACGAAGCCCTCCTGGCACTCGCAGGTCTCCACGCAGGCCGAAGCACCGCAGTCAGCGGGCATCGCGCCGTTGTTGCAGGTGTTGGGGCACGCAGTGCCGCACGCGGTGTAATTGCTGTTCTTTGGACAGGAGAGAGCTGTCGAAGGGACGGGACACCGTGGTCACGGTGGGGGTAAGGCTCCTTGGCCGTAAGAAGGTGCAGCAGAGCGCTAAGGAAACCTGCGTGGGCTTTCTGGAGTTTTACATGTACTTTCTAGAGTCGCCATGGACTTCCCAGACCTTCTGCATGGATCTTCTGAATGCACTTTCTGAAGTCCAGGACTTCCTGGACTATCTACCTGGACTTTTGGGACTCTCCATAGACTTCTTGGACCTCCTGCACAGACTTTCTGAATGGACTTTCAGCAGAGATTTTTGGGAGTCTCCATGGAATTTCTGCATGGACTTTTGGGACTTGGACTTTCTGCACAGACTTTCTGGAGCCTGCGTGGACTCCCTGGACTTTCAGCAGAGACTTTTCGGAGTCTCAAAGGACTCTGTACCTTCCGAATGGACTTTCTGCATCGACTTTTGGGACTTGGACTTTCTGCACAGACTTTCTGGAGCCTGCGTGGACTCCCTGGACTTTCAGCAGAGACTTTTCGGAGTCTCAAAGGACTCTGTACCTTCCGAATGGACTTTCTGCATCGACTTTTGGGACTTGGACTTTCTGGACTATCTACTGGGACTTTTGGGAGTCTCCATGGACTCCCTGGGCCTTCTACATGGACATGCTTCTGGAGCCTGTGTGGACTCCCTGGACTTTCAGCAGAGACTTTTCGGAGTCTCAAAGGACTTTCTGGACCTTCTGAGTGGATTTTCTGGACTTTCAGAAGAGACTTTTGGGAGTCTGCACAGACTTTATGGACTTTCTGCTTGGACTTTTGGGACTTGGACTTTCTGGAGTTTCTAGACAGACTCTCTGCATGGACTTTCTGGGCTTTCTGCTTGGACTTGCTGCAATAACCTTTTCCAGCCCACGAAGGCCAACCGTCTCCTGGGCTGCATCAAAAGCAGCGTGGCCAGCGGGTCGAGGGAGGTGATTCTGCCCCTTTACTCTGCTCTGGTGAGACCCCACCTGGAGTACTGCGTCCAGCTCGTGAGTCCTCAGCACAGTAAAGACATGGACTTGTTGGAGCGGTGCAGAGGAGAGCCACAAAAATGATCAGGGGGATGGAACACCTCTGCTATGAAGAAAGGCTGAGAGAGTTGGGGTTGTTCAGCCTGGAGAAGAGGCGGCTTTGGGGAGACCTTATCGTGGCCTCTCAGTACTTAAAAGGGGCTTATAAGAAAGGTGGTGGCAAACTTTTTAGCAGGGCCTATTGCAACAGGACAAGGGGGAATGGTTTTAAACTAAAAGAGGGGAGATTTAGACTAGATATAAGGATGAAATTTTTTACAATGAGGGTGGTGAAACCCTGGCACAGGTTGCCCAGAGAGGTGGTAGATGCCCCATCCCTGGAAACGTTCAAGGTCAGGTTGGACGGGGCTCTGAGCAACCTGATCTAGTTGAAGATGTCCCTGCCCATGGCAGGGGGGTTGGGCTAGATGATCTTTAAAGGTCCCTTCACACCCAAACTATCCTATGAATCCACCTGCTCGGGACCCACAACCTTTTCAGGCCCAGCTTTGTGCAGCCTAATTCAAAACGACCTGGCCCCACCTCGCTTGGGAGAGCAAGAGCTCTAAGGAGAAACAAACACCCCTGTTGATGCAGTTTCCCTTTTATGCCCGTTTTCTGCCCGCTCCCATACCTTCGCCCCTTGATTACACCCCCTTTAATTAAGGTCGCAGCGCCCTGCCCACCCAGGGGGAGGATTTTCTGTCAACCAGGAGCTACTCACGACAACGTGCCAGCGTCCTCCAGTCAGAAACGGTGATTCCCTCCTCCTGGCAGTCGTCCGCGTAGGCTTTGAGGGCTTGGCACAGCACGGCGTGGAGCCCATCGTTCATGCAGAGGTCGTAGACGCAGTTTTTCAGGTAGACGCTGGGGTCGACGGTGGCGTGGCAGCGCTCGAAGGGCCCCAGAGGTTGGGTGAGCAACCCGCACGACGTCTCCTCCTTGTACTTCGCCGCCTCATCCCATTGGCAACGTCCACAGTCCCCGCTGCAGCTGTCCCAGCAGCGACGGCTCTCATTGGCCACCTTCCAGCTCCGGCCCAGCTCCACGGTCTCCTGTGCCAGGTTGCCGTCAGGCATGAGGGAATCATCCTGAGGGTCGCCGTTGCTGTTGCCACACATCCCGCACACTTTGCCGGAGAACATACTGGGGAGCTTCACCACCACGTGGTCATCCCAGTCGTAGAGGATCTTCAGCTTGAAGTCGGTTTTAATCAGCACAGACTTGCCTTTCTGCTGCAGCCGGAGTTTCCCTTGGGCGAGGGAGATGGGGAGGTGGGAGCGATGGTTGTTCACCTGGAGGAGAAAGAAAACCCCATGAAAAACAAACAACATCAAACATGGGGCAAAAAATGGAGTTTGTTGAGCTTTGAGGTGTCTTCCTGCAAGAGGTGACCATGCAGTAGTGTCACTGACTCATGCACAGCAAATCATAGAATCATTTAGGTTGGAAAAGACTTTTAAGATCATCATTAAATACATTATTCCAGTGAAATACCATAATATTGCTTTGGATTTGATAAGTATTTTTCTTGCATACCCTCACGATCCCGTTCTCGGACCTGACCACAGCGATGGTAACATCATAGATGCGGACAGTCACGGCACCGATGTAGGAGACTTTCGGGTTGCCCCTGTGTTCATTTTTGGCCTCAACGCTGAAGACGGGCAGGGTCGGGTCCAGATCACAGGTCTTGGTCAAGATGTAGGTGCACGTTCCCATGAAATCGAAGGCTTTTCCATCAAAGGTTTGGTAGTGGGGATCGCCGGTGGCCCAGCAGGTTGAGACGGTTCCTTGGATGCAAGTGGGTTGTCCGTCCACCACCTCGCACTTCTCCTTGCAGTCCAGGTCTTCGCAGGAAAGCGGAGCAGAAGCTGCAGAAAAAGGGAAAAAAAACATGGATGGCAATCATGGAGAAGACCCAGCCGTTGGCAAGATGCAACCATGTGTTGGTCCTACTTACTCGTGGCACAAAGACCAGCGAAACCGTAACCGACGTAATTCTGGAAGCCGAAGACCAGGAGCCCAAGGGGTGTCTGCTGGTGCTCAGCCGTCTGGATTTCTGCCGGCTTCCTCATGGTGACGGTGGCCCAGGAGAAGTCTGTGCCGGGAATTGCTTGCCAGGACATGCTCCTCTCCGACTTCTGGTTGAGGGTGGTGGTGCTGGTGTCCGTGTTACGGGCGATGAGGACCAGGTGGTTCTCGTAGCCATCCAGGCTGCTGACCCGGTAGGACGTGCAGTAGGTGGAGATGGGTGGGATGTTGAGTAGGAAGGGGTCTTGCCTAAGTGAGCCCTTCTTGGCACCGGTGAAGAAGAAAACCACCTGAATTGCAGCCGAAGCGCTCACGTAAAGAGGCGAATTTTGTCTAATCTCAAACTTGTGGACCTCCCCAGCCTCAACGTTCTTGGTGGCAGTTGAATTACCCCTGTTGTAGGTGACGGAGGCTTCCTTGGCTGCCACGACGTAGGCAAAGTCGGTGTCCTTCTGCAAGGGGTTGGGGGGGACGATGTAGGCTTTCCCCCACGCGGCGACAGGCAGAAGCTGCTCGACCACGTAATCGCAGCCCGTGCGCACCTTCACGCAGCTGTGTCCGCTGAAGACGGCGACAGCATTGTCCGATGTGATCTTAGTGCCGGACAAATCGTAGCTGCTTTGCAGTTGCAAGCTGTGGTAGGGGCTCAAGAAGACACGGAGGGTGGACCCAGGGAAATAATTCCTCCCTCTGAAATAAAACTTGCCCTTGACGTTGATGGAAACGATGGTCGAAGTCTTCCCGGCTGCCACAACAAACTCCTTCAAGCCTTCTTTCTTGGTGTCGTCTGGCGTCACCACGTAATATTTGTTGCCCAACTTATCTACGGGCAAAACAGTGGTGGCACCCATGGTGTAACTTTTGGAGCTGACAAAGACCACGGAGATCTCCTTGGTGGACTGAATCAAGACGGCTTTATCCGAAAGCCGGTTGCCGACAAGCTCCATGTTCCTGGGGATGCGCATAGAAACCGTCTCGTCTTTCCCAAGGGTGACGGTGTCGGTGAAGGCGCTACCGTGCGCCGTCACCATCACCATGGTGGAGTCGAAGTAAGCTGTGAAGAGGAGCTGGATGTCGGCGAGGACGCCTTCCTCGTCATTCTGCAGGAAGACAGTGAAGAATTCCTTGCCACGGAAAGTTGCGGTGGAAAGACCTGGGAAAAGCAGGGAAAAAAAATTTTTTTTTCTTTTTTTTTTTTTTCTGGCTGCAGAAATTATAGTAATTTCTGCAAAAAAAATAACCCAAATAAAAAAATAAGGCTGCTTCTTTTTTGGTGCAGAAACTTGCAATAGGAAGTTCTGCAAAAAACAAGGAATGAGGGGTTTGGGGCTGAAAAAGCCTGCCATAAAAGGTTCTGAAAAAAATTAAAAAAAGGGAATAACATTTTTTGCAGCAGAAACACACATTAGAAAGTTCTGAAGAAATAAGTTTTGCTGCAGAAATTGCAATAGAAGTTTCTGAAAATTAGAAACTAGGGAAAAGGGTGGGGTTTTTTTTTCTTGCAGAAACATATAGTTAGAAAGTCTCGAAAAATAAAAAAAGGGAACAAAGACTTTTTGCTGCAGAAATTGCAATAGAAAGTGTGGGGTTTGGTTTTTTTAAAGCACATAATAAAGGTGGTTTATTGCAGAAGTTGCATTAGAAAAGCCCCCCCCAAATCAGGAAATAAGGGCATTTTGCAGCAGAAACCTGCAGTAGAAAGTCCTAGGGGGGAAAAAAAGAAAAGGGAAAAAGGCTTTTTTGGATGCAGAAATTGCAGTAGAAAGTCCTAAAAAAACTCCACTGGAAATAAATCTTTTTTTTGCTGCAGAAACTTGCAGTAACAGAGTCTTAAAAAACAGGTAGTAAGGGCTTTTGTTGCTGAGGAAAATAAAAACAAGAGTCTTTTGCTGGGAAAAAATGAGGAATATGGGTTTTTTCTGGGAAAAAAAGAGAGTAATGAGGGAATTTTGGTGAAAAGAAAGAAGGTTTTAAGGGCTTTTTGATGAAAAACTCCTAGGCAGTAACGTTTTTTCTTTAAAAAAAAAACAAAACCAATTAAAAAAAGTAATAAGGGCTTTTTCAAAGTTTGTTTTTTTTTTTTTTTAAGAAACAACACACCCAGGTCTGTGGCTGTTT